TGCAAAATGGTGTGTTTGTTGACATCTCTCAAAAAACGATAGCGAACGCGTTGGCCCGCTCACCGCTCCCCGCTCCCCGCTCGCCACCGTCTCTCATCGATCGATGCGTGACTCCACCTCTCGCTATCGATTTTTCAGAGATGTCAACAAACACACCATTTTGCATGCTGCCGAGTCCGGCCTTATTGGCTCAGACGTTTTTCTGAATTCGGCCGATAATAATTACGATTTTGTAAAATTTTATATAACTTTTCTTCTCAGCTTAACCCAATCTACTATAATCTTTGGGATTGTCCATATCGAATCTGACACCCTGTATTTTTTTATATAATTCTATATATTTATTCGAGTTCAAGCATGAAAAATTGTTTACCGGGTAGGTATTGTAGTTTGTCTACAATAATTTCGCTACGAGCAGTGTTACTTTAAAGTGAACCGCGAAAAATTGTAAAATAAACTGTAATTTTTATATGTACGGGCAGAATATATTTTTCTTTTCTCTAGACAATTTTGGTTTTATTGTAAAATTTAATATTTTCTCTTTAAAATGAGATTTTGGGGTTAGAGGCTAGATCGTTTAATTTATTCGCGAGAGAATAAATTCTCATTTAGGAACTCATTTAGGACGAGAATGAGCATTTAATTAAACAGGACGTTGCGACAAAACGCTTGCGAAGGAGATAAGTCGAAATGTGTCTTCTCGTAAAATAGAAATAAAAGGCGTAGGATACGAGATACTCTTAAAATATACCTGGAAAATGTAAATATTAGGTATTGATATTCGTGTCAAAAAAAGATTAAGTTTTAAAACGAAATATCAAAGAAAATATTAGTTATATGTCTGCATCTTGCCGCAAGAACTCTTATCGGAGTATTCGAGTGAAGGCGCTCGATAAATCATGTTTTCTCCTTTTCATATGTCGAAAGAGGTGCTAATGTAACTAAGTGCCTCGTAAGTTCAATTCGTATGCGCTACTTCCGCGTATTGCGAATGAGCCGCAAGAAATGAAGATGTGCATATGCAAATGCTTACGCGGCGCAAAGTAAAGCCGCCCTGGAATGTACTTTAAATTATAATGCAGTATAATATCTTTTTTTTAACGTAAGCTATTTGAATCTCCATCCTGCATTGAGAATCGTAAAGATTATCTGCGCGACTTAAAGATTTTGCATCTCATTATTTATCTTGGGCCGAACACTTTTCACGAAACGACTAAATGTCTCGACGAACAAGTAAATATTGACGTGCAAATAAATGCCTTAACGTCTCGGATATCACTACGGCTTTCACGTTGAAGGCTTGTGAAATCTCAGGTTTTTGCGACGATCAGCAGAACGCTACGGTCTAAAATTTCAATCAGTTACTGCTGAACAATAGCTTTAAGATTTCTTGAAAAATTGCGTTATGGAAAAGGCCGAAATTTAGCGAGAGATCAATTTATATATGTATGTATATGGGAATATTGTAATCGATTTAAATAGTAATTAATTAATATATCCGCAATATGCTTTTAATGTAATCTAACGTATCTAATTATTAATTATATAAACACCTTAACAATTGGGCATGAGAATATAACGCGGTTATATTTGCACGAGTTAGGTGTACATCAACTATAATATATTTAATTATGATTATTCAAAAACAATTAGTGGACGCTCCGACTCCAATTTGAGTCAAAACTGTTGATTTTCGGCGCAATAAGTGTTGATTCTAAGGTAAGCGCTTTTAGATTCTCTTACTAATTACATATGCATCCAAGCCTTTTTCAATACATAGCAAGCTATTGCAAAGCAACCTAAGGAGATTATGTCGCTTCGCAATAGATGGAGATTGCGAGCAACACCTGATCAAGTACTTAATAATTCGTGCATTATTGGTATCAACGAAAATAACATTATAAAATTCTCGTAATTAGACACATTTTTAAATAGAAAATATAGTATTTTCATTATTTTTGAAACATTACTGCAATATTGCTATCGAAAGTCTGCAATTTTATATCCCTGCAATGTCTCTACAAGATTGCAACGTCCCAGATAGCACACTGAATTCACAAAGTATTCTTTAAGTTTTCTTTTTCCTGAATTGTAATTCTTTAGGAATTCATAGAAGAATACAATAAGAGTGACAGAGGAAGTTACATGCACCATAAATCGTTTTCCTGACAACTTCTTAAAGTATTTATCTCGAATTCAATAAATGTAAACTTTATGAATTCAAGGGGAATAGTGTTAGAACAACGAGGATTACAAAATATTTACCCAATGTATGCACACATCTAATATGCAGTAACATTACACCATTATTATAATTTCTCACTCAACAGTGAGATACTCTCAACCGAAGCTCGTTGACAATCGGATGATTCGTCCGTTTCGATTCTCGTCATTCGATTCTTTCTTTTACACAATAGAACTATTGCACAAAATTAATTGCACATAACGTTACGCACACAAAATATTGCACGTGGTAACACGCTGCACAAGAACGTCCGGATGGCGGTTAGCGGATACTCGCGCATGACAAATAATTCCTCATAAATTCTTAAAGTATTCACAGTACTGAATCGCGAAGTATTCATTATAATGAACTTCAGCAGAATACTTCAAGACGAACTGATTGAGACTAATTCTTCAAGAATTCTTCAGATATTCATTGTTCTAATTCTGTATGTTTTCTTTAAAATGAATTCTCTATGAACTTATGTTCATCTTTGTGCTATCTGGGGTTTCTGCAATGTAACTGCAACCAGCTGTGCTGTAGGGAAGGTAAGCGCTTTTAGATTCTCCTGTCAAAAAGTAGAAAAGGTATTGAATCTTTTGACCGAACGATCGTAAACTGGTCCAGGGGCTCTATTCCGCACACGGTTACCGACGACTATCGATATCGTTAACGACGTTGGCGCAACTTTTCTATCATGTAAAAAAAGCTGCGCAAACGTCGTTAACGATATCGATGGTCGTCGGTAATCGTGTACGGAATAGAGGCCCAGAAACGAAAAGTGGACCGAAGCTGTCATAAAAATCCGCATAGTTTAAAAATATTTACCGTATAAACGAACGACTGACGGACATTACAGCCCTGGCGCAAATGAAGATCGGAGCGTAAGGCAAGTGTAAGTAGAGACTGACAGAAAAGTAAATAAATGAAATTCCTGGGAAGCGTAAATTGAAACAGCGCGGGATGCAAAAGAAGCATCATAAAAAGGGAGGCCGATCAACACTTTACTCTTTATCTTCTAATTCTCAGAATTAGATAATTCTTAGATTTCTCAGATTTAGAAAGAGCTCGACGTCTTTTTTCTTTTTCAAATTCCTCGGAAGCCGGAAGGAGACGAGAAGTGCGTTGAACCGAGATCGAAGTTAATTCGTGTATCGGTAGAAACGGGCGCGAGCGAAAAATAAAAGTTCTCCAACTGATGATTTCTCCGCCGCGTTTCCCACTTCGCGCGACTGCGCGGTGGTACGAGCGCAGCCGCGGGGCACGGAGTGCGGCGTGCCACGTTTCATCCCGGAGGCCCCGGAGTGGCCGGAGTCTCGGCTGAGGAGACGTGACGTGAGAGACACCGGCGCGACGCGACTCACGCGACGCAGAGCAGTCGACGCGTGACCGATTCTCGTGTCGCTCGCGGTGCCGCTCGCATCGCACGCTCCATCGTTCGCCGAGCGTAAGCTGAGTACAGTCGAGTAGCAACAAGCCTCGCTCCTGCCGTCGTCAACAACGGGAGATCGTTCTGCCGTACTGACTGTTCGGCGCGAGACACGACCCGACACGATGGCATCGCACGTAACGGACTTCTACAACGGCAAGAGCGTCTTTGTCACCGGCGGCACCGGCTTCGTCGGAGTCTGCCTGATAGAGAAGCTCCTGCGATGCTGCCCCGACGTCGAAAACATTTATCTGCTGATACGGCCGAAGAAGGAAAAGCAGATCGCCGAGAGACTGGAGGAGCTGACGAAGAACTCGGTGAGTGACGCCGTAGCTCGTCCACATTCAAGCTCAGTCGCTCGAAATCTCGATGAGCGCGCGGTTTTCACCAAGTCACGCCTACGTTATTATGTAAATCCTACTTGTGTTTACCTAGGCGGGATCCTTTCGTGCATTCCCAGACAGTCGAGGGCAGTTTGCCGGGAACAAATTCGGCGAAATGTCTCTGCGACGAATTCCCACCTCCCCCCTCCCACCCCCTTGGTAGTGCCAGCATCTTATCCGCCACTGCATCCTCATGTGCTAACGTTTCAGATTTTTTAACGCCGTGTCGCGAACTCCGTCGCGACAGAGAGGCTGCGAGGAGGAGATACAGTCCCAAATTGACCGTGCAATCTCAACGAGCAAACTGTTGTGTCAACAGACATTGCTCAGACATCGCGGCACGTTATCTGCGTCCGCAGTAAACAATCTGACGGCCCTGGTGGAAATGTTTTACTGAACATGAGATTTTTTGCTAAAATTTAGTTGAAAATCTCAATTAACCCTTTTTTATTGTTATTTTTTCTGTAATTTTTTTTGTTAAAAAGTAACAGTTTTCAGTTTAATTCGGGGCGTTTTGTAATCTTTTTGCTTCCTCATAGAGGAAGCTTTGTTTTCATCCGAAAATTTTTTTTCCAGTTTTCAATGCCAATGGGTTTAGAATGTTTTAAAACGTCAAAAAACACACTTATTTAAAAATGTCTGTGTGTGTGTGTATGTGTGTGCTCAATAATTGTTCGCGCTCTCACCTCCGCAATTTTTGAGATATCGCCTTCTACTTTGGCATATTAATTGAGTGTCATTAAAAGATGGCTGGTATTGTATTCGATAATCGGTGCAAGGGTTCAGTTTATACATACATACATACATACTGTATATACATATGTATGTTTAGGTTGAAATTCCTGAATAACTTTTTAAATATCCAAGATAGAAAAAAATGTTAAACACTAAAGTTATATCGTTTTTAGTGGCGCATTTCATAGTAATATCAGTATGACCTTGAATAGCTTTATCAAGGTTATCTAAGGGTCACCTTGAAATTTTTATATGGAACCCTCCTTTTTCATTACATATTCTTGTAGCTTATTTCAATAGCTTTCCAAAACGCTATAATAAAGTATGTTTTTACTTTGCGCTTCATCTTAATTTTCCTTATATTTAACAGCATTTCAATGTTCATTTATTCCGTTTTTCAATGATTTCGTCACAGCAATTTCAGCAAAATATTTTCATCTGCACTGACAAAAATTTGAACCTCATTTTACTGTGAAAATCGGTGGTCATTTTTAACCCTCGAATTACGCCGTTAAAATACGAAGTGATTTGTAATTTTACCTCAAAACGTTAAAATTACCATTCAAATGAAAAAATATACGATTTATTGCAACATTCCCTTTAAGATATCACTAACAAAAGAGCAAAATTCCATGTTGAACTGTAAATTCACTGTATAGAAGTGAAATTTAAGCACATATATGAAATGTTATGGATGAACCGGAAGCTAATTTACAAATTATGTGACTGAAAATACCAGATTCAATTAATTTTTCATAATCTTCCTGTATTTTTAATGAAACCAACAAAAAAATGCAAATTTTATGTAAAAAACTCATGAAAGTTCAGGCAAATTTACCAAGAAATAAGTAAACTTCCTCTGTAAATTCGCATTGATTTTTATCAGTGTGGGAGCAGACTGTTGTCAGGAGCTCGTTTACGATTCGTTTCCTCTAGCACGAGTTCCTGCAAAATTTGATTGACGAAGTCAGTTTATATAGTTCATTTTTCACTTTTCATGAATTCACGTTAGAAGAAAAGATTCACGACGCGAGCCCCAGAAGTGCAGGGATATGCCATTGAAATGGTCACGAAACGGCAGTTTTTGCCTAGTTTCCGGTAGTCGATCTATCATATGACGTCGGCAGATTCTGTCATACCTTGCTGACATTTTATCGATTACACTTGTAACGGATACTTTCAAAATTTCTTCTCGATAGATTCGGTTATTCGGTCTGTTTTGCTATTTGGCAGAATGCTGATAGAGATACTCGTAACAGTTTATGAATAAACTACAGGTTGAACAGATTAAAGTGACAGATTCACTGCAAGAATCAAGCAGATCTTGACGTATCTGTTATAAGGTCTGTGTCCACGATGCTAGAACTTGGTCCAAGTTCCAGTTCCGAGAAATGTGTGGTCAATCAACTTCCCAGATAACATGCATGTCTAAAAGACATCTTTAAGATGTCTTTAACACGTCTTTTAGACATCTTTTAGACATACACGTCTAAAAGATATCTTAAAGACATCTTAAAGAAGTCTTGAAGATGTCTTTTAGACAAGCATGTTATCTGGGTTGCAGCTTTTATGGAATTTCTTGAAAGTAGAACTTGGACCAAGTTACACAGGCATGTACACATATTGTATAACAGGTATGCCTAAGGCTGCATACACAATTGATTTGACGTATTTGTCAAGACAGTTTGACATGGGCGGCATAAGCAAAACGGAATCTGTGTTTCACATTTCCGTCATCAGTTTGCTGGCCGACTGTATCAGTAGGCTTTGCCAGCGACACGCGGACATAATATGCATCAAATTGATGGCAATTTACTAGCAATTTCTGATCAATTTGCCAGCAATCCTGTTTGGCGTACCGCGGATAATTTACTCACTGGGTTGTAACTCTCATTCGCACAGGTATTCAACAGACTGAGAGAGGAGAAGCAGACCGATTTATTTAAGAAACTGATCGCAGTCGCCGGGGACGTCGGCGAGGAAAATTTGGGATTGTCCTCATACGATCGAGCAACCCTGATAAACAACGTGGAGGTCGTTTTCCACTCGGCCGCCACGTTGGACTTTGAAGCTGATCTAAGAAGCACGACAAATATTAACTTGTTAGGAACTCGCAGAATCGTTCAGCTCTGCCGTGAGATTAAGAATCTCAAGGTAAACCGGTGTTTCAAGCCAATATTTTGCAACACACTTGGTATTTTTCGCATATATTTATCACGATTATTCGTCTTGGCGTTATTTCTTCTTCTCTTTCGTTCGACGTTCGCTGTTCTAGGTCCTGATCCATGTTTCTAGCGCGTATGTTAATTCAGTATTGCATGACGTCGATGAGATAGTGTATCCCGCACCAGCGGACGTAAATACATTTCTCAAGCTGATCGACGCACTGGACGATGCTACTTTAAATTCCAAAACGCCGGAAATATTAAACAATCATGCAAATCCGTATACGTTCACCAAACACTTGGCCGAACACGAAGTAGTAAACGGAGGCCTCCCATCGGCCATCGTTCGTCCTTCGATGAGTAAGTTTACGTTTAATTGTACGACACGGTTGTATGATTATTACTATATGTATATGTGATATACTTTAAACAATTGTGCATATTTAGTAACAGGAGCGTGGAAAGAGCCAGTTCCTGGATGGACAATATCGAAAAATGGACCACAGGGTTTTATATTAGGCGCCAGTAAAGGCATTGTAAGAAGACTGCCAGTCGCAAAGCATCTCGTTTACGATTACATTCCAGTAGATATAGTAGTAAACAATCTGATTGTCGCAGCTTACAATGTTGATCGTGACAGGTGATTCTTTGTAGTTTGAAAAGAAAATTTTATTACATCCCGATAAAAAATGTTTCATGCATAAACACGAACAAATAGACATAGAATTATACAAAAATATACAATTAAATATGTACAATTTTATATAATATTATATGTACATTTATGCGTGCTCGTGCATGAAAAATTGTTTACCGGGATATATTTTACTTTATAAAACACACACGGGCTTCCCTTGAATCGCAACACTTGAATTTTCTAACATAATCTGTAATTTTAGCGATAAAGGATTAAAGGTGTATCACTGCACGTCCAGCACGACTAAACCATTCAAATGGGACGAGGTAGCAGACGACATTAATCACTATTTACACAAGTATCCATTACGGAACGCCGTTTGGTATCCACATCTCAAGTTTTTGCCGTCGCTCTTCCTGTTCAGAATCTCGGCTATCTTTGTTCACTTTATTCCCGCCTACATCTTGGATGCTGTCACAAGATTATGCGGAGGCCGTCCTATGTAGGGTCGAATATTTAATATGAAATGTGTATATGCCGATTTGCCACAAAGTTCCTCTTGAACAAAAGTTTCTCCTTTACTTTCTTTCAGTCTGGTTCGCTTGCATACAAATGTTAACAGATCGTTGGCGCGGCTTGAAAAGTTTATCTTTCAAGAATGGAGATTTAACAATCCGCGCTTGCTACAGTTGCACGAATCGTTATCACCAGAGGATCAAGTGTTATTTTCGCTCGACATTAGATCGTTGGTCTGGAAAAACTATTTTACAGATTTGATACAAGGTGTCAGAACGTATCTTCATAATGAATCTCCGAAATCTTTACCGAAAGCACGTTCTAAAGATAAAATGTACGTACATCGCTAAATATATAGTTCCTCGTTAATAATTAGTTTGTCATTGATGTTACATTTTTGTTCCAGACTTATGGTTGCTCATTTGAGCTTGCAAGCTGCTCTGTTGGGTTTGATTTGGTGGCTGGTTAAGGTTTTGTTCGCTACAACGTGGACAAAAACTGGTTTAGTTGTACCGATAACATATTTACTTTTTGGGCAATTATAAATGTAATCCTATATTTAACTCTCACACTTGGTTGCCACATTGGGCCAAAATGGCTTAGACTTTGGTTTGAGATGTCTTTTAAGTATGCTTAACACTGGTTTAGCACTATTGGCACTATTTGGTGGTAATTTTTATTTTTTTAAAGAATTTTCTCAACGTAATGCCACTTAAAATATTAATGTTTATAATAAAATTATATTCTTCAATGTTTCAAGTTGATCTTGTAATTTTTCAAGTAAATATAATTAATGGTTTCTAAACTGTTTATTCATTCAAAATTGACTTCGGTGAACCCAAAGTGACAGACTTGTTCGAAAAAAAGGTGTTACAACCAAGTTCTAATAATCTACAAACTTATGCCACACTTGCGTACTTTTCTCAATTATTCATATATAAAGTATACAAAAAATTAATTTTTTGTATGTAGATATATGTATGCACATACATGTGTCATATGCTCTATATCTGGATTTTTGTATACGAGAACATATACTTTTATAGTTTATTAAATAATCTGAATATGCTACAAGTATTCACTATTGCACGGTGTAGTCGATGTAGGCGGTTTAAACCATTTTAGAGGCACAATATATGATAGAGACTTTTACTTTAGTTGGGTATGATACATTTTAGAAAACATTATATGACTGGAATATGAATATTACGAAACGTTGCTTTAGTTTCATGTATATGTGTAAATAGAATAATTGTAATACACACATATACTCTCGTCAATCATGTCTAACTGATCCGTGGTGAATCAAGGATGGATACTTCGTGCCTATGTATTACAAATTAGTATTAATATTTATAATTTTTGCTACTATAAATATTTAATCTGGACTAACTGATTAGCTGCAAATATCTATTTGCAGTTAAATAATAACAATGAAAATGTACAACAGCAAGAGATCTCATCGAATTTTTCATGTCAGTATTAAACGCCCACATTTTGTTTCCGACCCATTCGTCTTCCTAGGATTGGAGTATACATATTTGTTGAGCGTATCTTAATACCATATTCCTACATTTTTAATTTTTAATATAATGGATAATGGGTATGGATATAAATTAAAATACTTTATTTTAACTGATCTCTTTCGCCGGGTCGTATCTCGATTTTATGCAATTGTCGATTTTGTGCTTGAACGCTTATTCTGATCCAGAATGAGTGTTTAAGTACGAAAACCAGAAATTGCGTAAAATCGAGATACGACCTTGCGAAACAAATCAATCGATTTGTAATACTGCAAGATTTTATTATCCACAAGTCTGTTATAAATTTACTATGCAAATACATTGTTAATAAAAATTTAATAAATTTGTAATCACTGAGTGTCATTTTCTCTTCTACTGTCATTTACGGTACCATGTTCTTATATACTTGAAATTTGACTTAAAAATTGATGATTTAGAAAAATTATGTTGAAAATTACATTGATGAATACGACATATACATATATAAGATACCTTTTATAAAATCAGAGTAAGATACGTATACAGGGTGTCCCGTAATGGGCAATTAATGATTCACAGAGTGAAAGGGGATGAAATTTTGAACTAAAAGTTCCTTCTTCAAATTTGGCTTG